AGCCTCTGGGAAGACAAAAGCTTCGAAGCCCAGGCCCAGCGCCCATCGAGGTTGCCAGGTTGACGGATCTCCATGGAGACCATAAAAGCACATCTGTTCCCTCTCGCTTCCCGGGGAGGGTGTCTGTTCTGAGAGTGCAGTGCTCGGGCCTGGAGCCTTCCGTGGGTGAGCGCCTCCCATACCTCCCCCACACCCCTCCGGGCAGGAGCCCAGAGCAGCCGCCGCTCTTCGCGGGAGACGGACAGCTCGGGAGACAGAGCAGACAGACGGGCTGGGCACAGAGGGGGCCCCGCGGGACTCCCGTGCTGGCCACCGGGCTGGGGCTCCTGGCTTCCTGGGAGTCTGGGGGCTGGGCCGGTGCCCACAGCTGTGCCACTGGCACCTGGCCCCAGAGGAAGAAGCAGCAGCCTCTGTGGGGATCGGTCTCGCCACCCTGCAGCCCTGTAGCTCCCGCGATCGGCAGCCCGCCCCTCCGTCTCTCCCTGGTTCTCTCTGGAACGCTCTCTCCTCTCTGCCCTGGGTCTCTTCCTCTGCGTCTTCTGACCTCTGTGCAGTTCTCTCTCTCTCTGCGTCTCTCCATCTCTCTCGGCATGTGTCTCTGTCCTTTCTCTGTCCTTTCTCGACACCACATGTAACCACCAAGGGTCATTGTCTCCGGAGCTCTAGAAGCTATTAGACATTGTTGCATTGTGGGAATGCCAAGTGGTGCGGCTGCTCTGGAAAACAGTATGGAGGTTCCTCAAAAAATTAAAAATAGAACCACCCCATGACCCAGCAATTGCACTGCTAGGCATTTATCCACGGGATACAGGTGTGCTGTTTCGAAGGGGCACATGCACCCCATGTTTATAGCAGCATGATCAACAGTGGCCAAAGTATGGAAAAAGCTCAAATATCCATCGATGGATAAATGGATAAAGAAGATGCGGTGTATACACACACACACACACACACACACGCACACACACACACGATGGAGTATTACTCGGCAATCAAAAAGAATGAACTGTTGCCATTTGCAACTACGTGGATGGAACTGGAGGGTATTGTGCTAAGCAAAATTAGAGAAAGGCAAGTATCATATGACTTCACTCATACGAGGACTTTAAGAGACCAAACAGATGAACATAAGGGAAGGGAAACAAAAATAATGTAAAAACAGGGAGGGGGACAAAACAGAAGAGACTCAGAAATATGGAGAACAAACTGAGGGTTCCTGGAGGGGCTGTGGGAGGGGGGATGGGCTAAATGGGTCAGGGGCATTAAGGAATCTACTCCTGAAATCATTGTTGCACTAGACGCTAACTAACTGGGATGTAAATGTAGAAAATAAATAGAATAAAATAAAATAAAATAAATGAAATGAAATGAAATGAAATAAAATATAAAATAAATAATAAAGTAAAATAGAAATTGTTGCACTGTGCCCAGCCCCCTCTCCTGCCCTGGGGCTGGCTTTGACCCTGGTCTTGACCCCTTGAGCCCCTTGCCCCAGATTATCTCCCGTCTGAGGTCTGTCCCCTCACAGTCTCCACACAGCTGGGAGGGCCCTTTTGCCAGCAAGGTGCATCTTAGGGGAGGAATCTCCAGTTCACGTAGGGAGTGACCTGCTTGGCCGCGAGGGCATCTCTGAGTCTCTGAGTCTCTCTGCCCCCATCAGAAAATTGTATCATCGTGTGTGGAGATCCCAGGAGCGCGGAGAGAGCTAAGTCAGAAAAGGTATGTGAACATTGTTTGCGCACTAAAGGAGGGGCATAAACTGGAGTGCCATCGAGGGCCGGGCCAAGAGGGAAGTGGGCCCGTACACAGGGCGACAAGGCGGGGTGAGGACTGTGACGAGCCACAGAGTCCAGGCTGTAGGGGGCCCACGACACAGCTCTAGTGAGTGGTCACTAATCAGGCCCTCGGACCCAAGCTTTCGCTAGAGATGCTAAAAAGCAGATTTCTAGTTACACTTTTAATGCTGACAGTTCCTTCCTGTTGCCTGGGCTTGGCCTCCCTGCCGTCAGCCTGAGTCCTCTGGAATCAAGCTCGGGTCTCCCCCGGGAAAGTCTCTGAACCTCCATTTCCCCAGAGGGCCAGACTCTCTGTAGGGCACACGGTGTGCTGGAGCGGAGGCTCGAACCTCTACCCACAAGCAGGGCCACATGGGGTCTTATGTTTTGAGTCCCAGAGCGACTAGCCCATCGTGCTGGCCCCTGGACCCCAGGCCTCTCCACACTCCAGCGAATGAAGCGGTCATGTGAGGCCCAGGGACCGGAAGGCCCTCCGGGACGTACTCCAGAGCCACGGCCAACGTCCGTTAAGTATCTGGACTAATCCACCCAGCTCCACACCAGCAGGCAGCAAGGGAAGGGAGAGTCTGTGGTCGGGGGGTCTGAACTCTGAACTGGAAACGTCCTTCCTTCATTTTCTCCTGCAGTATGTGTGACACTGTTCCTACAGCCGCTGCCTGCCAGCTGCTATGATGAGAGACCATCCTTGTGTGAATTTTGGAGCTCAGGCTGGGGACCAGCCGTATGGGGTGGGGAGGGCTGTTCGTGGAGCTGGTCTTTTCGACATTCTCGTCTGAGGAAGGGGGTGGGTTTCAAGCCAGGGTCCTTGCTGCCCGTCTATGGCTGCCCCGACCCTACTTTCCAGGCCCAGCCCCTCCTCCAAGAAGCCTCCCTTGATGTCCACGGACACACATGATAACATACAAGTCGTCAGAAGTCTTGTAGCTCTTCCGGCCTGTGCTCCTAAGAGACACAGGAGACAGGAAAATGAGACACAGAGATAAGGAGGGACAGTCTCTGTCTTTGAGAGACAAAGAAGGGAGATGGAGGTGTGTCCACAGGTGTTCAAAACATCCGCACGCGACGTGCGTCGTGGTTCTGACCGGAGCCGCAAGAGCTCAGCACCAAAGGCACCACGTCTCCACCAGGGACAGCCGGTGAGATCCACCGCGGTGCGGCCACACAGTGGCCTCTGTCCATCGGAGAACCAGGCGGCCCTGGGTGTGCCGAGAAGACGTGTCTCCGAGCTGAAGAAAGAGAGAAAGGCAAGCCAAGCGCAGGGCAGGGTCCACAGATGCTGCCACGTGGATGGAAAAGGGCTGCGTCCCCTCCTCCCAGATTTGTTGGCCATGAACCCGGGGCCAGTGCCGAGACTGACGCCGAAGTCTCGCGGGGAAAGAAGTGGTCCCCGTCCTCGTGGAGCTCTTTCCGATTTTCTTTTCCTTTTCCTTTCTTCCCTTCCCTTGACTTTCTCTCTTCTCTCTCTGCCTTTCTGTCTTGTTTACATACGGATGGGTGTATCTTGCACGCGTGCCGTATATGAAGGGACAACCTCCAGAAGCCCCCGGAGAAACGGCTCCCCCTGCTTCAGGCCCCTGGGGATGGGAGCCGGGAAGCCTGGGAAACATGAATGGAAGAGAGATTCCCTTCTCCCGGATGGCCTTTTGGGCCGTTGCTTTTCCTTTGTGTATCCTACCTAGTTCACGTTACTTTCTGTAGAAGACTCTAGAACTTCAGCTACAGATCCCTCGCAACACACGAGGAGGGCATCTGGCTTCCGAACACCTTGCTTCTGCTCACTCCCAGACCAGCCAGAAGGGTCCTCTGCCTTGGCTTGCAGGATTACACTGATCCTGGCTCTCTGGGTTACACTGATCCTGGCTCACTGGGTTATACTGACTCTGAATCACTGGGTTATACTGATCCTGGCTCGCTGGGTTATACTGACTCTGGCTCACTGGGTTATACTGATCCTGGCTCGCTGGGTTACACTGATCCTGGCTCACTAGGTTATACTGATTCTGGCTCACTGGGTTATACTGATCCTGGCTCACTGGGTTATACTGACTCTGGCCCCCTGGGTTATACTGATCCTGGCTCGCTGGGTTATACTGACTCTGGCTCACTGGATTATACTGATCCTGGCTCGCTGGGTTACACTGATCCTGGATCACTGGGTTATCCTGATCCTGGCTTGCTGAATCACACCGACAGCCATTAGACTCTCTCCATGTGTCCAGGGCGCTTTGTTAACAAACCAACACCCTCAGTACTCTGTGAAGGAAGCACAGGCACTGTTCCCATAAGGAAGAAAGCGATGTCTCATAGTTTATCACTTTTCCAATTTTGTGTCCTGTTTGGGTTCTATATGCCCCAGAAGTTAGTGTCATAAGACAATAACAGTTATTCCGCTGACACAGCTGAGATTTGGGCTGGCCTTGGGTGGGGCCAGCCTGTCCTTGCTCCGCTGTGCAGCGTCATCTGAAGATGACAGGGTGTCTCAGGTCTCCCAAGGTACGAGCCCAAAGGAGGGCTTGGGGGGTAAGAGCAGAATCCGTACCACCTTTCTTGACCAGGCTTCAGAAATCTCCGGTGTCACTTCCAGCACGTTCTGTCCCTGAAGACAATGCACTGATAGTCCATGGAAGGGGAGTTAAAGTCTACTTCGAGGGGAAGGAGTGTTAAAGAATTCACACACAGGTCTTAAAACCCCCGCACAGAGCAAGACAACGGTCTTAAGATTTGAACCCAGACAGCAAGGCTCCAAGGACATATGCTCTTGGCACCCCCACCCCACCTCTTCTTTTCTGGGGAAAAGGCTGTCCTCAGGCCCAAGTGCACCACAGGTGTCCAATAAATGGTTTCTTGTATCCCGCAGACTGTAAAAAGCCACAGGCCCGAGGACCCGAAATGACCCTCACTCTCGCCTCCAGAGCTCAGTGAAAAAGTGGGCAGAGAGTTGCGAGCGGGAAACTTCCGGGGGCCGCTGGTTGGAATCACTGATGAGATCCCCGAGACGCCTCCGTGTCATCTGCCCCACCACGGGCTCCGATGGGGGAAGAGCCGGCCTTCCCTGTTCAGTGTTTCCATAGCAACCCACAGCGGGCCCGGTTTCAGCGGGGCCGCATCCCAGCCGACAGCCACTGGACACAAGACACCCTTTCCGGCGGCTACTTCTAGGAGCAAAACCAACCGGCGCACGGGGGCTAAGGACGGCTATCGTCTTGGCACCAGTGACGGGATCTGTTATTCTGGAAGCAGCAAGACAATGGGGGAGGCTTAGAGACAGAAAGGAGCGGCCTCCGATTCTTGTTTGGATGGCCTGGGAATAAAACAAAAACAAAAACAGAGATCACCTAAGTCAGCAAATCAGTTTCAGCCATTCATTGATTCAGTCAACAAACTTTCATGGCGCATCTGCTCCGGGCCAGAAGGTCTTCTAGTTGCTGAACCGCAAACAAAAGGTCTGTTCTCTTGGGGCTGGCGATAAACGGAATACATCTGAAGTGAATCGTTGCACCAGCTGGTGGCAAACGCTGTGGGGAAGCTAAAGTGGGGTGGGGAGGAGGGGGGGCGGGACAAGGGCAGGGGGCGGCCTGAGCCAGCCTCGCCGAGAAGGAGGCAGGCAAGCAAAGAAAATTAACCTGGAGAAAAGTACATTTTAAACCCGACGTTGAAGCCTCTTAGGTGAGGACGTGAGAGTATATTTTGCAGGAGCAGCAGCTGATACGGAGAAACTGGGGTTGGTAGCTTGGTCTGTTCTCCGTACCGGCATTTAAGCTGTTTTCGGAGCATGACGATTCTGGGGATGTGACCCAGTCGGGGCCCAAGAAAACTGGAGGCCTGATTTCTAGTCTTTCTGGTGATTCATCTGCCTAGCGAATATTTCGAGAACACTCACCACGTGCCACTGAGGCCCGTGTTGAGCACTGGTTTTTCAGTTGTGTGATTGTGGACAAAGCACCTCTCGGAGTTGGATGGGTTAGGTCAGAAGCAGTAACCGCGAGGGCTTTTGGGTCAGTCGAGGGAAGACAGAGTTCATTTGCACACAGGAGGGGTTGATCAGGACGGACTCATGCTCTCTGAGGTTGGAACAGGGACTTAAGAGAAGAAAAGGGGGCATCTGGGTGGCTTAGTCCGTGAAGCGTCTGATTCTTGGCTTCGGCTCAGGTCACCATCTCGCGGTTCACGAGTTCGAGGCCCTCACTGGGGTGAAACCCTCTTAGGATTCTTTCTCCCCCCTTCTCTCTCTGCCCCTTCCCTACTCACGCTCTCTGTCTGTCTCTCAAAATAAATACACTTTTAAAAAAAAGAGAGAGAGAGAGAGAAAGAAGAGCCTGATGTGTGTCTGACCAAGCAAAGGGAGGGGGCATTTTCTCTGGGTGTCACCTTTGACAGAAGCTCTGGGCTAGACCAGTGCCCCACAGGAGATGGCATCTTTCGAGGAGACATTTCGTCAGGATTCTTCCGACTGAAAGTGACAGAAACCCAAATCAAAAAAACTGAAATGGGGGCGCTTGGGTGGCTCAGTCGGTTGAGCGTCCGACTTCGGCTCAGGTCACGATCTCGCGGTTCCTGAGTTCGAGCCCCGCGTCGGGCTCTGTGCTGACAGCTCGGAGCCTGGAGCCTGCTTCCGATTCTGTGTCTCCCTCTCTCTCTGCCCCTCCCCCGTTCACGCTCTGTCTCTCTCTCAAAAATAAATAAAGATTAAAAAAAACAAAACAAAAAGACTGAAATGAAAGGAGTATATTAGCTTATGTAAATGAAAGCCTGAGGCATTTGCAGCTTCAGGTACAGCTGGATCCAGGGTTTCAGTGACCTGGAATCTGGAAATGTGGCTCTGTTTCCCTTCATCTCTCAGATCCGCTTGCCTCCTGGTTGGCTTCACTCCTGACTGACAGCAATGATAATGAGAAGCAACCCTGGGCCTTTATTCTGCCGACACGGCAACTGTCTTGGCAAGAAAACGGTCTCCTTTCCAGTCGGGGCAGCTAAGATCCCAGGTTCGACTCTGATTGGACCAACCGGGTCACGTGGCCACAGCCTGCCAGCGACCGAGGCCGCGCAAGGGATGGGCCAGGCCTCGGGTCAACGTGCCCCTTCCTGGACCCAGGGATGGACCCAGCCCCACCCAAACCACACGGACTGAGTGCGGGGGAGGGGTGTTCCCACCAAATAGGACGTGGTGTTGTCACCAGTTGGAGGAATAGACCCTGATGGTCAGGAAGACCCAGCGCCCACGACACAGACCAAGGACCCTGCTGCACAAATTCCTCCCCTCGTATGAGGAATGGCCCCTGGGGGCAACCCTTTCCTCGCCCGCGAAATGCGGTTGGAATTCATTTCTCACCCCAAATCCGTCCAGACGGCGCGTGGCTGGTGAAGAAGGATGGGCTGGGAGCACACCGCTGGATTTTAATGCTTTGAAGACGACTTCTCCTCCGTCTGTTTAAGGATTACTATTCCTTGAAGAATTCAGCTCCACACGATAAGTGTTAATACCTTATTTCTTGGGGGACTCTGCAGCCTGGAGTTGGAATTGATTGTGAACAGAATAAAATAATTTGCTTTTTATCAGCATCCTCCACAGAAGCTTGTTTGCAGCCAGGATGGGCCTCAGAGGAAAATGCTTCACCTCCCTAATCCCTCCATGAGATTCCTAAATCACACCCGTCACTCAGAGCCACTCAGACAGAAATGACCGGCGCTCTGTAATAATAAAAACAGAATTAGGGTCGCTGTCACCTCCCGCTGATGGCTCCTTTAGGGGCCGGACGCCAGCAGGACTTAGCTGTCGTGGAGGGCAGCAAGGACTTACGGGCTCTGCTGCGCAGGACAGAAGGTCGTGGGCCGACAGCAGAGTCACAGGCCACTGATGGAGGGAACGCATCCCTGTAGTCACCTTGCACTTTGGTAGGAGCACAGGCAGAACCGAGTAAGCCATCCTCCGAGGTAAATGCACGGTCCGCATCCTTGTGGCCAAACGTGGCTCATTAGATTCACTCGCCACCCACCAGAAGGGGAAACAGAGAGAGTGGAAGAACAGAGAGGTTAAGTAAGCTCCCACATTTGCACAGCCAGCTCGGGAGGGAGCGAGAGCCAATCTCTATAGACTGTGGGCTCCTTACCTGCTTCTCCTCAGGCAGGCGAGTACCCAGAGAGGCAGGACGTTGCACTTCACATATAGGAACGCCTCTGACCCTCCCCAGGGGTCAAACCTAGGATCATCTCACGTTGAGGATGAGGAAACTGAGGCATAAAGGGCTTGGGTACCGTGGCCAAGGTCACATGGCCCGTGAGTGGCGGAGCTGGGGGATGAACCAGGGAGGCCACTCCGGGACCCGTACATATGGCCCCCGTCTTCTACGACTTTCAACCAGTGGGGCAGTGGATTTTCCCTGTTCAATTTTCCCTGGTTCGATCGTTCTTCTGTGCTAACTCTCCAAGTAATCGGGCCCATTTTAATGCAACTTCACGGGTTTCGGTCTTATTTTAGCATCGATGTGATCAGGACACCACATTCTCTTGACCCAAAGGAAAAAATATTGCAAGAAGTTGCCTCACAAGGAGGTTTTCCGGAAGGAACCACCTGGGTAATGAGGCGAGCGTCTGGGTCTCTCACCTCTGTCAGATCACCGCGTGCTGAGGTCTGGATCTTTCCCTGCTCCTGTCAGTGTGGCCCCACTTTGGTCTGTCTTGCTCACCGCTGTCTCTGTCTCTGGGCTCCGAGCACAGAGCCCGCGCTCGCTGGTTGTCCAATGAATCTCTCCCTCTCTCTGCCTCAGTCTCGGTCTCTGTCTGGCTCCATCTCTCTGCCCTCTAACTTTCCAAGGCTTGTTCTACACAACGTGCCCAAGACCCCTGATGTGGAGCTGTCCGGATGGAACACGAACCAGACCCCGACCCCAGTGCTATCTCTCCAGGAAGGAGACGGATGGACCCAGGCCTGTGGTGATCGGCGTCCGGGTTGGGGGCCTGATTACCTGTCTATGGAGCATTGATTTATGGGTATTCTCCGTCTTTTCCAAGACTCTGGATTGCAGCTAATTTACCGGCGGTCTTAAATCACCCCCGCCCCTCACGCCGCGAAGCCACACGCAAGGCACCATCTATCATGTGCCTCCAGGAACCACTGACTCGAATAAAACACAGGCAGGGAAGAGAAATACCCACCTCCCTGCCAAGGGCGGGGACTCGGGGGGGAGCTGGCTGTGTGCAATTTATCCAGAAACGGTGGCGGCCCACACACGGCCCGCTTAATTTCATGTTTGGCTGCTGATGGGTTTTCATTTATAGATAATATAAACAGGTTGACAGGGCCCTAATTAACTGATTTGTGGTCCTTTGGGAACAAACGGTTATTAATATTCATAAACATTTGTAACGCTCAGGCAGATGCCCGGCCCCAACATGATCATAATATGTCCTCAACTGCGTGCACCTGTGATTTCTGATTTGTCTCTTGCCCGGGGACACCGGAGGGCGTTGACAAGTGCTGATGGCCCCTTGCCAGGAGATGGGCCCATGTCCTGATCCCACCGTTAATGCGAGATCTGCCAACTACAACTTGCTGGGTTTTCCGCCACCCTTCTTTCCTCTCTGGGCGCCCTTGGCCTAGCTCTCCTCCGATCCCGCTCTGAATCTCTTTGAGACGGGCCGAGAACTCCCTCCTTCGGGAAGCCTTCCTGGATTGATCTCGCTCCGTGGTGATGCCGTCTCTCCATAGCGTAGTCTGTTGGTACGGTGCAATTATTCACAGGAGGGCGTGGTTTTTAATGTTTTGGGGCTAGCTTATCCAAGAATGTTCTGTTTCGTGAACTTTTCCTGAAATCAGGGACAGATCAATTTCTCCCTTTGGCAGTGGAGTGCCTCTTATGCAAAGTCAGTTGCCATGGTGATAAGTAAATAACACCCCAAACAGCCACGAGTCTCTACCTGCTTCTGTCTGTTAATCGTCTCGCCACAGCCCCGCAAAGCAGGTACGAGGATCGTCCCCGTCTTCCGGATGAGGAAACTGAGGCACAGAGAAGCCTGGGAACTCAGCCAAGACCTTAAGTCAGTGAACGGCCCAGTCAAAATTTCTCTTAAAAAAAAAAAAATCTCTGAAAGTACTCATAATATCCAGTCCATATTTAATGCAACGACTTTAAAACTTTCTTTCTCGAGGCGCCTGGGCGGCTCAGTCGATTAAGCGTCCGACTTCAGCTCAGGTCATGATCTTGGGGTTTGTGAGTTCAAGCCCCGCGTCGGGCTCTGTGCTGACAGCTCAGAGCCTGGAGCCTGCTTCGGATTCTGTGTCTCCCTCTCTGCCCCTCCCCTGCTCGTGCTCTTTCTCTCTCTCTCTCAAAAATAAATAAACAAACAAAAATTAAAAAAAAAAAACAAAAATTAGCCAGAGGCCCGCTGAGAGGCTGAGCCACGTTCTGGACTAGAAGTATTTTCATAGCTCATGAACATATGGAAAGGATTGGGCTGGAGGAGACATCAGCGTTCTCATCGTCCCACTGCCTGCCCTGCCTGGCACAACACCACGCATCAGAACGTCCCCAACACTTAATGACCCACCCTGTCACAGAACCTTCCAGTTACCCAGTGCCCTGTGTCCAGGGCACCATCCATCAGCTTCTGGAAACGTGAACCATGTCTCGCAAGGGGCGAGGGGCTTGCTTACAGTTTATTTGACTCTTCAGGCCTTGCATTTCTTCTTAAGCATCCGAGCCTCAGGGTCTGTGGGTTCCGACCAGGCAGCCATGTCCCAGCTCTCCTGCGGAGCCCTGGGGATGGCGGCGCCCTCCTCTCTGGAAAACAGTGGGGTAGCACCCAAAACTGGGCGTGGCTCAGGCTCTAAAATTACTGAACAAAGGGAAGATCAAGTGCAGGAATGACTGACTCTAATTCAAACCCCAGAGACACCCCCAACTTGGGTAGACGAGCCCAAGTGGACTGGCCCCCGGGCAACAGAGACCCAGCGAGGGAAGAGCTCAGACCCTCTGAGTCTCCACCTCCTACTGGGCGGGGCTCCATGCAGGGGCGTGGCCGGCTGGGGTATTTACATGCATTTCCATAGGCCATGTTTAATTACTAGCATTATCTTTGCTTTCATATCTGTCGTCAACCTGAAGATAATCGTCCCATGTTTTATTTTCTGCCAGGGGTATCCAGTTGTATTCATGTCGGATGCAAGTCTACTGCGGTCCTGGCAGTAAAAATACCCGCTCAAGGGACACGGATTTTGGAGAGCACGTGATGGGACGGGATGGATGAGAGCCGGATGCCGGACCTCTCATTTACCGACCGTGTGACTTTGGGGAAGTCATCTGATATTTCTGAGACATACGTCCTCTCTTTTCTAGACTGGTGACTCAACTGAGGACAATTTTGCACACGGGGGACATTTGGCGGTGTCTGGAGACATACTTTTGGCTGTCAGAACCTGGAGGGGAGGGTGCGACTGGTATCTAGCGGGTAGAGGCCAGGGACGCTGCCACACGTCCCACAAGGCACAGGACAGCTCCTTACACAGTGGCCTCGTTCAGCCCGAAGTGTCAACACTGAGGATGTAGAAACTGATGTACGAAAGGTATGAAGAATACTATAATGACTAGCCACGCCTCTCCCTCCCAGACATCAGGAGCGGAAGCCCTCCGCGTGTGCCCGCCCCCCGCCCCGTGCATGCCCCTCCCTCCCTGTAGAGGTAGCCGTCAGTCCAAATCCTGTGGTTGTCATTCTCCTGTACGTCCGCCCCCTATAACAAGGGCACGTAAGTGCAGGTAGACCTCACTGACCTTGGTTTTATTTGCTTTTCCTATTGTCTTTTTGAGACAATGGAAATCATCCCACCTCATTTAACATCTGCAGAAATGAAGCCCAGAGAGGTTGAGTGACTTTTCCTCGGCCACACAGCAAGGCAGGACCCAAGCTGGGCTCAAAGGCCAGTCCTCTGAGTTGACTTCTGGTTTCAAGAGTTGAGCTTGAAGAGCTTTCAAAGAATTTGAAGCACAGGGGTTAATAGAAGTTGATTCTGGGCCTCTCACTCGGGTCAGCCGCTGCTCTCTGGCGTGTGTCAAAAGCATTTTCCCTCCGATTTATTTTGCCTCTCCCTAAGTTGCCATTTCATTTCATAAAGGAGCACGGAGACGGCTGTCTCTCCAGATGGATTGAAAATTGAAGGCTGCCCGGAAGGCCTTTGCCCCTTTCAGGCCAGCCCCTCTGCAGAGCAATGGCCAGCAGGGACAGCAATTTGGCCGCCTCTTATGTTCTTTTTGTTCCTATGAAAAAGCAGTTAAAAAGAAACCGATTTTTGAGAAAATGACCCGGGTGATTAGATGAAATCGCTTCTCTGGCTTTATGCTGCAGCTGAGAAGCAGCAACCGGACTGGAGGAGGGGGAGATGGGAGTCAGGTGGCAGAGGGATCTGGGTCAGTTACTGCCTTTTCCCCCTCCCCCCCGGTTAGGTCAAGGTTGGGGTGTAGACCCACTTCACAGATGACCCCCCAATCTTATTTTTTTTTTCAATTTATTTAATCAAAGGTATGTGCACACAGATGAATCACAGTTTTATAAGGTTTGTTACAGAAGTGGCGTTTTCTCCTTCCCTTTGCTCCAATTTTCTTGCACTCTAGGGTGGCTACTTTCAACACTTTTAGCTGAATATTCTGGTATCTAAATCTAAATAGCATGCTTTTAAAAAGCTCCCAGCCTTCAACAGCTAGGCAGGTGACCAAGGAGACATAATCAGATGCCACTATGTGAAGGACACAGATTAAGCTGCATGCACACCAGCAGCCACTTTATGTTCGTGAGGCACATGCAGCTAATGATGTCACATGGGAAAGGAGAAGATCCCTGTGTCCTATTGCCAAGAAGGAGCCTACTTACCAGGAGGGCCAGGACTATTCCCCAGGTCTTCTGTAACTCCTAGTGTGGTGGCCATTCACTTCATTATAGTAGAGCTGATGATAAGGGTCAAGTTTCCATCAGGTTAGCAAAATCTTCTAGTAACAGTTGCAACAGCAACAGTAATACAGACACTCTCGGTTGTTTACCCAACAGCCCTCACCTTTCTTTTCTTTCCTACAAACAGATTTTGTGTGGAGGAAGGAGCTAGTGATCTCAAGATCTCAGGGAACCTAACCCATCTTAATCGTAGAGGACCAATCTGTACTATAACCATAATGGTACATCTTTTTCCACTTGGTTTGGGAGTTGGCACGTGAATCTCTTCTGGCTCATGAGATATAAGATATAAGCTGGGGGCTGCCCACCCTGAAAAAAAAAAAAAAAAAAAAAAAAAAACAGACAAAACTCATGACAAAATCTTTTGCCCCTGACTCTTTCTCCCTTCTAGGGATGGGAGATCCGGATCTTGGCAACCATCTTGTGACCATGAGGACAAGGAGCCGATATGCTGAGGAAGGTAGGACAGAAGTGTGGGAAGACCCCGAGTCCATGGTGATGTCACATTGCTGCCACACCAACCCAAGGATCTCAGGGCTCCGGAGAGCTTGTTCATATGAGACAAGAAACTGTCTTTGAAGCCTGAGATGGAGTTTGTCAGGTGCTCTGTAATTGCAGCCAAGGGCATTCCCATGGATACCCATATCTCCCCGTTCAGAATGGGCTCTGATTCCCTCCCATTTCCCCCTGAGGTAAGCAGCAAACACATTGTGTGGCCACCACGAAGAGCCACTTTCCAGACCCTCGGAGTACAAACATGAATTGAATCCGGTCTCTAACATCACAACAACCGGGAACCTAAGGGAAGAAACACGCAAAATGGATGTATTCGTCATGACTGCTGCCTGCGTGTCAAGTTCTGTGCTGAGCACTTGACATGGGACCAACCACTTGAGGTCAAAGCTGGTTGAAGAGAGCACCAGCCTTGCCGGAAAATAGTGGTTCTGCCTCTCGTGCACCATCAACCCCGGGTCCACTCTGAGTCTAGGGGCCGGACCTCACGGGTGCGGCCACCCCGGGAGCCAACAGTAGGCTGTAGCCCCAAACCCTGACCCTTCCTCATCTTCAACGAAGTGCGTGTGAGAGCCTCCGCTCCAACGAGGGGGAACCCCAGAAACCCCAGCTTATGAAGACTTGAACCAAACAGGTTCCTCTCCTGAAGGGCAGAGGAACACGTGTCTGTTGGCCTCACAGCATGCGTGTGGCAGGAAAGGTTATAAATAAACTGTCCTCCTTCCCTCCCTCTCTGCTGCCCTCACCCTCTGAATGTTCAGTCTGTGGTTTCTTCTCCCTTTGAAAGCCTCGCCTGGCCTGATGTGAATCCTAATTAAAGTCATGCACAGCGTGACTTTTAATTAGCCTAAGCAACCCCACGAAAGGCGTCAATATTGAGCGGGATGACTGTGCCAAGTGACTCTCCCCCCAAGGATCGGCAGGGTGCCCCAGCTGGTGGGAAGCCTGGCACCCATGCTGGGCAGGGCCATGAAGGGGTCTCGCTGGGCTCAGCCAATCACAGTTTTCATGCGGGGCTGCCTCTTTGTGGCCAGGAGGCAATGACATTTATCAGGCGGTTGCAGATTTATTTCACGTAAACTACACGGGATTGAAAATAGGTCCCAATTAGCGAAGACAACTACCCCCTGAAAGGCATGGCTGGATTTTCTCTCTTGGGGAAAATCAGCAGGGATGAAGGTAGAGGCAGGGGTGTAGACCCCACTTCTGGTCTGGGGGGTGAGGGGGAGTGGCAAGGGTTCTGAATCTAGATAATGAGGAGGTGAGTAAATGGAAGATGAAATCGTTCTTTCCTTAACAGATACAACGATCGGAGCACAGTGATTTCTCAACGCAGAAATGATCTCACTCTTCTTTATTCCCCCAAAGCCGTGGATTTTTCTTGCCTTTGCTCATGAATCAACCAGAAACGTGGCGTGGGGGAGGTGGGGCAGCAGCATTCTTTGCTCAGGAGAATTCATTAGGGATTCTGGAATACTGACATCATAATTCACTCCTAGCACAGCGGGCTGCACCTTGCCCGTGCCCAAGGTTGGGGGATCCATTTAAAGCTGCCGGCAGCCTTCCTGCAAAGACACTGGCTCACAATGGATGGTTGCTTCTGAGCGGGACACCAGGACACCCGCTTAGGGGCCTAGACTCTAACAGCTCCCCCGGTCCATGGAGCTGTCGGCTTAAAGACGGTAAAACATATCAGGGAGCAGGCCTGGGAAACCCTATAGCTCGCAGGGGCAGAAGGTAACTTACGCATGTCAGAAATCGTAAGAAAAGTGGGCAAATAGGATTCCGACGGCCAAAAAGCAGACTTTGGTAAGACACCTGCCTCGCTTGCCTACTGAAACAAAGGTCAAACACTTGGTTAGTGACCGTCTTTCCCCTTAAATTACTCAAGTGCCTTGATCCCTTATTTTATGAGCTTGACGTTTTTTTTTTATTTTTTTATTTTTTTTTTTTAATTTTTT